AGCCTGCTTCTCCCTCTCCCACTCCCCCTGCTTGTGTTCCCTCTCTCGCTGTCTCTCTCTGACAAAAATAAAATCTTAAAAAAAGAAAAAAATATTTAAAAAAATAAATCATGAGTTCATATTGGCTTTCTAAATTCAACTTTACCATTATAGATTTTTTTCTTTATATCTTACATTTTATATCCTTATCTCTTTTTCTTACAACATAAATCTTGTCATCTGATAATACTAATATACTTACTTTTTTCTTTATCCTTGTGATATATAAATATAAAATAGTTTCAAATTTAATTATAATATTATTACTATTACTAAACCTACTGGGTGATGCTTACTACTTTTTTGTAGCTTTTCCTGTTTTTAAAATATTATCTCATTAAGGATGAGTCAGAGGACTGGGTTTATAAATTATTTGCAATAGCTATTTCCTTTGTGGGACTATGTTATCAATTTGATAAACATTTAGACTCATCTGCTTTTTTAAAATATTTATTTATTTGAGAGAGAGAGAGAGAGCACATGAGCAGGGGGAGGGGCAGAAAGAGAGGGAGAAGCTGACTCCCCCAGAGCAGGGAGGGAGCCCGATGCGGGGCTTTATCCCAGGACCTGGAGATCATGACCTGAACCAAAGGCAGAGGCTTAAATGACTTAGTTACCCAGGAGTCCCTCATTTACTTTTTTATCTTCAGTCTCGGGGCTTATATCCTTGATTGAATTTTACTTTTTGGATATATAAAACATAAGTATGGTTCAAAAGTCAAAACCATACAAGGAGGTGGATTTAGAGGAATGTGGCTCTCATCTTTATCCCTTCTACCCTATTCACCAACTACCCCCTTTAGTAATCATTTTCATTAGGTTTTTTTTTTTTGTCTTTTGGATATTTGTACCTCTTAATCCCCTTCATCCATCTCCCCCCACCTCCTCTCTGACAAACACCAGTTTGTTCTCTGAATTTAAGAGTCTGTTTTATTTGTTTTTGTTTGTTTTTTTAGGTTCCATAGTATTTGTCTTTCTCTGTCTGATTTATTTCACACATACACACATCCATTATATATATTTTATATATCCATTATCACATCTTCTTTATCCGTTCATCTATGGATGGGCACTTGGGGTTGCTTCATTATCTTGGCTATTGTAAATAATATTGTAAATAATGCTGCAATAAACATAGGGGTGTATATATCTTTCTGAGTCAGTGTTTTCATATTGCTTGGGTAAATCCAGTAGTGGAATTACTGGATCATATGGTAATTCTAGTTTTTAATATTTTGAGGAACCTCCATACTGTTTTCCACAGTGGTTGCACCAATTTACATTCCTACCGACAATGCATGAGGGTTCTTTTCTCTCCACATCCTCACCAACACTTGTTATTTCTTGTCTTTTTGATACTAGACATTTGGCAGGTGATATCTGATTATGGTTTTGATTTGTATTTCCCTGAAACTAAGTGATGTTGAGCATCTTTTCATGTGTCTGTTAGCCATCTGTATGTATTCTTTGGAAATTGGAAAAATGTCTATTCATATCTTTTACCCATTTTTAAATCAGATGGTTTGGGAATTTTTGGTGTTAGGTTGTATGATTTATGTATTTTGGATATTAACTTCTTATCAGATTAATATCTTCTTCCATTTGATAGGTTCCCTTTTTGTTTTGTTGATGGTTTCCTTTACCATACTTATTAGTTTGTTTTTAAAACAGCTTTATTGAAATACATTTCACATACAATACAATTCACCCTTTTAATGTTTTTTCAATTGTTTTAGTATATTCACAGAGTTGTGTAACCATCATCACTATCTAATTTCAGGGTATTTTCACCACTCCAAAAAGAAACCCCATAGTAATCACTCCCCATTTCCTCCCATGTCCCCACATCCCAGCCCTAGGCAACCACTAATCTACTTTCAGTCTTTATAGATTTGTCTGTTCTGAACATTTTATATAAATGGAGTCATATGTGGTATTTTGTGTCTGGCTTCTTTTACTTAGCATAATATTTTCAAAGTTCATCCTTGTTGTAGCATGTGTCAGTGCTTCATTTCTTTTTTTTAAGATTTTATTTATTTATTTGAGAGAGACAGCACTAGCGAGAAAGCATAAGCAAGAGGAGGAGCACAGGGAGAGAGCATGAGTGGGGAGAGGGGTAGAGGGAGAGGGAGAAGCAGATTCCCCACTGAACAGGGAACCAGAGGAGGGACTGGATCCCAGGACACTGGGATTATGACCTCAACCGAAGGCACATGCTTAACCGACTGAGCCACCCAGGTGCCCCAGGGCTTCATTTCTTTTTTCACTGAATAATAATTCATTGTGTATTTATACCACATTTTATTTTTTTATTTATCGGTTGCTGGTCATTTGAGTTGTTTCCACCTTTGGGCAACTATGAATAATGGTCCTGTGGATATTTGTGTATATGTTTTTGAATGAACATATGTTCTCATTTCTCTTTATTATATACCTAAGAGTAGAACTGCTGGGTCATTTGGTTTAACTTTTTGAGTCATTAGTTTTTTGTTTTTGTTTTTTTTTTAAAGATTTTATTTATTTTTTTGACAGAGAGAGACATAGCGAGAGCAGGAACACAAGCAGGGGGAGTGGGAGAGGGAGAAGCAGGCTTCCCGCAGAGCAGGGAGCCCGATGTGGGACTCGATCCCAGGACCCTGGGATCATGACCTGAGCCGAAGGCAGACGATTAACAACTGAGCCACCCAGGCGCCCAAGTCATTAGTTTTTCATTTTCTTATTGTGTGCTTAATTTGACAAAAGTAAGAAAATATGTGTTTAATATTCTTATATATCCTTATTTCCCTCTTTTGTTCTTATAAAAAGGGTAGCATACTCATATACCTTGTTTTTAACTTTTGAGTTTTTTGCTTTTATTTTTGCTGTTGTTCTCTGTTATACACCCTGAAATTCGTAATGCATTCTAGAAATCACTACAAAAAAAGTTTGTAGATATTTTCCTAATTCTTTTTTGACTATATAATACTACATTGTTTGAATATACCATTATTTACTCAACTAGTCCCCTATTGTTGGATACTTTTGTATTTCCAACCTTTTGGTATTAAAAAATTGTGCTGCAGTGTTTAACCTTGTGCATATGTTGTTTGGTACTTGTGGAGGTGTGTCTTCAGGGTATATGTCTAAAAGTAGAATTTCTAGGCACAGGGTAAGTGAATATGCAGACTTGTTAGATCTTGTCAAATTCTCCTCCTCTAGTTTTGTATTGCATTAATGCCAGCAATGTAGTAGAGTATTTATTTGCCCCAAAGTCTCATCAACAGAGAATGTGGTCATGCATTAGGTTTTGCCAATAAATGGTATCTCAGTGCAGATTTAATTTGCATTTTTCTTCTTTGAGGAAATGAGCAGTTTTTCATGTATTTAAGAGTATTTGTTTATCTATTTCTGTGTCTTGTGTGTTTGTGTCTTTTGCTCCTTTTGTTCTAGGCTTTTTGAGGACCAAGATTCTTGAAATAAGGCAGTAGCCAGCCTTTGGGTAGATGGAAGCAGGTGCTTCTCACTAACTGCTAGCAGGATTAGCTCAGTCCTTGGCTCCTGTCACATACTAAGAATCTTAGAAAATCAGAGCAGGAATAACTATTTCAGATTAGCTAGTTCAGTCCCCTCATATTATAGATGAATAAATGGAGGCCCAGAGAGTGGGAGGGACTTTCTTTAGTTCACACAGAAAATCAGTGGTAACGTGGAACTTGAACCCAATTTCTCTTTCCCCCAGGGCAACTTCAAATTAATATGCAAAGGATTTATGTGCTGATTGTTATACTTTCATTGAGATTATCACAAACAACTTTTTGGGAAGAAACTGCCTCTTAATGTCCTCGATTAGCCCAAATTACAAATATTGGCAATAAATATAAAAGGCATCCTCTTGTTAATTCTGCCTATTTATCTATATTAGTGTCTATAATGCTCATTTGTTATAAAAGTATAAGAAAAACATAGAATGTCAGAGCTGCACTGAATCTTGGTGATATCTCATTATGTCACAGGGAAACCTGAGATCCAGAGATGCAGAATTTATCACAGGGGGAGACCAAGAGGGCCATTTAGCCTGGAGCCTCACCTTCACTAAGGGCTTCAAGTTTAGGTATTTGAGATCTTTTCCAAATGAGGTTAAAAACGTATGATTACTGCATTTTTGCGAGTGCGATGATAGCTTTATTTTGAAAAACAAACACATATAAAATGCATTGCAATTTTTCTAAGCTTGTTGTCTCATTTCTGTACTTTTTAATGTACCAGGAGAAGCCTCAAGAGTGACCTGCCCATGATTGTCAAGAAAGCTTGTAGCAGAACTGACACCAGAACCCAGATTTGCTGACCTGCAGTCAGAGTGCTTTCTGCTGCACCATAATGCTTCGTTAAGAGCCAGTGGCTGGCCTTTTACAAGTCAAGAAAATTCATCTTTATCCACAACATTGAACCCTCTGGCCAGAAAGCACCACCCATGCCACTTAAATGCACCATCTTGGAGCTCATCACAAAGCCTACTCTCTATAATACTGTCTTTCCTGCCTGCCATACCCAATCAAAACGTTGGCCACAATCTTCAAAATAACTCCCATTTCTTGAGAATCTCCTATGTGCTATGTGTTCACTCACAGAACAGTCCTGTGTGGTGGGCAATACTATTCTCATTTTACAGATGATTAAACAGGCTAAGAGATTATACAGCTAAGTAAGTGGTACAGCTGGGATTTAAAACCAAGTTTATCTGACTGCAAAGCCTGTGTTCAGCCCATTTTATCAGGTATTACTCTTCAACTGAGATGCATGATGACTCTGGGAGGATATATACAAGGGCCAAGGCAAAATCACCTTCTTCATAGAGCACTCAGCCTGTCCAGGATGAAACAGTTGGTGACTGGGACTTAAGGAGATGACAGTTTCTCTGCAATGCTACCCTGTGGGCCAGTCCTCTAGTAGAAACTCTTCCTGAAAACCCAGAAGTTACTTACTTGACCAAGTGTCTTATAAGAAGTTCCAGCATCTCTCGGTTCTTTTCGGGTAGCTTATATACCAGGGAGTGAATAGCTCCCAGCCGGTAATCCAGGTTGTCAGACTCTAAGAGAGAACAAAGAGAAATAGTTTTGCCTTTTGGGCAACTGGATCAAGCAAACTCTCTCTCTCTCTCACACACACACACACACACACACACACACACACACACAATCAGAAACACTGAGAGATGAAAAGAGACAGAGAGATAAACAGGCAAAGAGAGATCAAGAAGAAAAGACATTGAGACAGAGAGAGACAGAAAGACAAAGAGACCAAAAGAGAGATAAGACAAAAAGAGAGATAAAAACAAAGAAATAGGCCTAGAAAAATAAAAAAAAAGAAGAGAGAAAAGAAAGATGAGAATATAAGACCATCTCTGAGGAAGTCAGAGTTCTAGGTATAGCAGGTTGTTCCTAAAGTTCCACATGTAAACTTCCACAGGAAACCCTTGCCCACCCATCTTTTTGTGGTGCTGGGAGGTATACTGCTACCTCTGGGTTTATGTGAAAATCACTGAGAGAGCTCAGAGTAAAGATCAAAGGTCTCTTGCCTCAACAAAAATTCATTATGAGGTCAAGTCTTCTCAATCTTTTTCCTGCACACCACAGAGAGCACAGAGCAGGAGAAGGGTCATGTAGAGATAGGGAGGGATACTCATATAGTGGCCTCAGCCAAAACTTTTAATACTTCTTCAGCTGCCACGTTTTGGGGTGATTCTATATGCCGTATTTCCCATGTAATGCTCCACTTTCACCCTCAGTTTTATCATCTAGGAAATGTGATTCTAGCACTAACAGATTAGGAGTAATAATTCATAGCACAAATGAAAAGCATTTGAAAAGGCAAAGTTATGAAAAAAATCTAAAACAGCAACTATAATGGAACCATTTTGGTGCCCCCTAGTTATGTGAACCAATGCTCTTGTTCTGACTGAAGAGGCACATTCAGTGAATAAAGCCCTCACACCTGTCACATCCTCATGTTACTCAGTTGTCTCCAACCTACTCAACTTACATTGATTTATGAAAAGTAATATAACACTCGAGTTAGACAGCAAGCAAGAATACTCTCATTTGGCAGTGGACAAAAATCTATGTATATGTTTTGTTTTTTCCCCTCACTTTCTCTCATTTTTCTAGGTTTATTGCTATGAACATTATTAAGAAGCCAAGACAACACAATTAACTAGTAACATAAATACTTACTGGCAGCCGAGACCAGCTCTTTGTGAAGTCTATAGGTCATGACAGGTTCAGAAAGATTCCTGAAATTAATGAAGACTGTAAGTTCCTTTGGGGAGGGAATAGCCGGGTCTCAGATTTTCAGTTCTGTGGGCAGCAAGGCTTGTTTCTAATCCCTATAGCTTAGTGTGACTACATACATTTCTCTCTTCACCTGAAACGTTGTCAGAGGAATGCTACTTACTGGTAATTCAATAGAATACCTGCAAAAGTATAAGCCAATTAGTCCTGCAGGGTCTCTAATTAGTTCCCAAAAGTGAAAGGAGTCACAGACCAGTACTGAAAAATTCCAAAGTGGACCCACTCTGAATGCCGCTATAAAGTCCTTGCAGTTTGATAGTTCCTTAGTTTTCAAAGTGCTTTCATATCTGTCCTCCCATCTGATCCTTTCAATGATCCTGTGAGATGGAGCAGTTATTCAAATCCCAGTTTAATGGAGGAGAAAATTGAGGCCCAATAGATTTCTTTATTTAGTAAAAAAATATTGGCTGAGCACCTACAGGTACCTGACATTGTGCCAGATATTGGGGCTCCAAAGATGAGTAAGACAGACCCCAAACCTCCAAGGAACTAGTAGTCTAGTTGAGAAGAGTGCCATATACAAAATTTACAATGTAAAAGGACCAGTGTGATGATAAAAGATAGGTGGTGGGTAGTTCAGAAAAAATAATTCACTTATAATAATAATAGTAAATGCTTCACTGTTCTAAGTGATTTGCATATATTTACTAATTTAATCCTCATGACAACCCTGTAAGGTAGATATTGTTATTATATCCATTTTATAAATGGGGAAACTGAAGTTCAGAAAAGTTAAATAATTCATCCAAGACCATGCACAGCCAGTAAGTGGTAGAACTAGGCAGTCTGTCCTGAGTCTATGTTCTTAATCACTATTATACTGCCTGCCACTATTATTATGTAGTAGTCCAGTTGAGAGATAATAAAGGCCTAAACAAAAATAGTGGCATCAAGGATAGAAAGAAATAATGAGGAGAATTATTTAAAAGACATTAAAGACAGAATGGGTATACTGGTGAGGGAGAAAGTCATCTGGTTTATGAGACTGGATAGAAATAAGCCTGAGGGACTTTTGGGATAGCCAAAGGGAGATGTCTATCAGGCAGATGGATGGAATGCCCTTCTAGATCTGAGAAGTAAATATGAAAATCATAAACCTAGGTGAGTGGTTAAAACCATGAACATAGGTGAGTGGTTAAAACCACAAGAACAGATACCACGGCTCAAGGAGAGATGGCCAACTCAGCCAACAGCTACACGGGGCCTTCCATTTATTATTTGTCCAGAATAGTGTATAAAAAAGACATGGAATTGTATTAGTTATCAGAATATAAAAATTTGAGATATTTCATAAAAGATCCATATTTTCTACCTCTATTGAAAAATGGAAAGATCTGGCTATATTGGGCCCATATGGTTACTTGTGGAAGTAAATATTATTGCTGATTATATATAAACAAAGGGATCACTATGCAAATACAGGTTCAATATGCAATGTTTTAATATGGAAGTAGTCTGCTTCATTCATTTTCGTGTCCTGGCCCCTGTGGATATTTGAATTTTTCATCCTTCCATTATAGGAAAAAGAGAGGAGAATCCTGGAAAATATCAGGTAGAAAGTCCATAAAGGGGACTGCTAAAAATGGTCAAAAAAGGTACGAGGAAAGCCAAAAAAGCAAGTGATATATTAGAATCCAAAAGAGGAGAAAGTGTCAAGGAGGGCTCATTAACAGCTTCAAATGCTACAAAGAAATCAAGTAAAGACTGACAATTGTACATTGTGTTTAGCACTGAGGGAGTCACTAGTGACCTTGGCAAGAGCAGCTGCAGTGGAGCAGAGGTGTTGGGAGGGAGACTGCAATGGGTTAACGAGCAAACTGGGAGGTTAAGAAGTAGAGACACTGGGACACCTGGATGGCTCAGTGGGTTAAGTGTCTGCCTTTGGCTCAGGTCATGATCCCAGGATCCTGGGATCAAGTCAAGCATCGGGCTCCTTGCACAGCAGGGAACCTGCTTCTCCCTCTGCCTGTTGCTCCCCCTGCTTGTCCGCGCACTCACTCTCTCTCTGACAAATAAATAAATTTTAAAAATCTAAAAAAAAAAAAAAAGTAGAGACACTGCGTGTAGATTACTTCATATACTGAAGCTTGGATAGGAAGGCATGAAGTATCTCTCTTATTAGGCAATCTCATCCAAGCTCCTACCTCCCAATTACCATATATATTTTCAATGATTCACAAATTTTTTGCTCAAGCTCAGAATTCTTCTCTGAGTTCATTCCCGTATATGCAATTGCTCACTTAATATCTTGCCCTGATTTCTTCAGACACCTAAATTTGACATATCTAAAGCCCAACTTGTCATCTCCCCTACATCTAGTTTTTGTCTTGTTTCTCAAATCAGTAAATATATGGCCACCATTTCGTTGTATGGGTCATAAACATGGAAGTCATTCGTTTATCTCCATCTCTCCCATTCTCATATATAAATTTACTCCCTAAATTCCTTAAATATGCTTATTTCTACCAATCTACACTGTTACTCCCTAGTTCAAGCAGAAGCATCATCTCTTTCATGGACCACAGCAATAGCCTACTAATTGGTTTCTATCTCTACCTACCTATTGATTCCCTCTAATCTGATCTCTACACGTTTTTTTCAAAATGCAAATCTCATCATGTAACCTACTGCTTAAAATCTCTCAGTTTATTCCCACTCCTTTTAAAATAAACCCAGACCCCAATTCTTAAAATGTCCCATACGACCTTGCATGATGGGGCTCCTAATATCTCTCCTTCCCTCTCTATACTACAACACTCCACTTATACTGGTACATGTAGAAGAGGTCATTCTCTCTTGTGCTTCAAGGCCTTTGCGTATATAGTTCTGTCTGTCTGGAACTGCCTCCTCTCAGCTGACTCTAAGTTATAATTCAAACCTCAGTTCAAAAAACAACCAGAATAAACCAGGTCTTCCTATTATATGCCTTCATAATACCTTGCACCTTTTCTTCAGAGCACTTATTATGGTTTGTTATATTTGTATGATTATTTGTTTTTTTCTGCTCTCCTAACTGGACTATAACTTTTTTAAATTTAGAGACTACGTCTATTCACAGTTGTATGCCTACTGCCTAGTACCATGCTAGACATAGACTACTCAGGAAATGTTTATTGAATAATTTAGTAAATGGTAGAATGAATTTATTCATTTATGAAAAAAGACACAAGGTCAAAGAGATGTGCTTTACAGGAGCATATTTATATGCTGAGAGGAAAAAGCCAGTTGAATAAGAGAGATTAAAGATATTAGAGAGAGAAAGGATAGTTTTTAGGGTACTTTTCTGGAAATGTTGGAATAAGGGGTGAGTTAGGTATGTATAACACAGATGAAGAGTCCCTCTCTGAAAATTAGTCTAAAGTATTTGAGAAACCTAAAGGGTGTTAACTGGCTAGTGCATATTAAATGCCCATACATTAAGTCTTAAGGACAAATCTTTCATTGGAGGTATTGCTCATTCAGGCTTTCAGGCTTGACCTTCCCATCTTTCAAAAGGGCCACACTGCTTATTATGGGATGAGTTGGGAAAGATGTAATGTGGGGAGGTACTTAACCTATATAAATCTTTGAAAAAAATTGACTGCTTTGAAAAAGGCTAGAGACATAGAATCATTTACTCTCACTATTATCACCACCAGTCTTCTAAAAGTATGCATAGTAGATTGCTCTGTCTTCACTAAAATTACCCAGGCAAATCCAGGAAGGTCATAGCCCCTGAGGGTGGGAAATGGGAAGAAGATGTTCCAATACCAGTGGCCTATATGTCAGAGATACTTAGGTTCAAATAATATGAGCTGTGAGCATGGATATTACTTAACAGGAAAGGAGGTGCCTTTCAATTTCCTCATCTGTAGACGATGGACTCTGAAAAACAAACTGAGGGTTCTAGAGGGGAGGGGGGTGGGAGGATGGGTTAGCCTGGTGGTGGGTATTGAGGAGGGCACATTCTGCATGGAGCACTGGGTGTTATGCACAAACAATGAATCATGGAACACTTCATCTAAAACTAATGATGTAATGTATGGGGATTAACATAAGAATAAAAAAAATAAAATAAAATAAAATCCCAATTTCCTCATCTGTAAAATTAGTATGATACCACTTACCTAACAGTATTATTGTAAAAAAAAACCCAAAAAACCCAATGATATTATCAATGTAAACAACTAGAACACTGCTTAGTACAGAATAAACCCTCTAACAACAATACATTTCTTCTTTGGCAAATGCCAGAGAAATACTCCTGGAAAGAGCATTCATGCTTATATAAAGTTCTAAAATGATACTACAGCAGAAGGTCATTTAACAGCAATATCTGGGACCCAATTTATTTTGGATTAATGATATTGAAACATCTATCCTAAATGCCTAAAGAGTACAATAATTGAAAAAAAGACATTTAGTAAATAATGTATGGTACATACTATTGGACATAAAGAATAGTAAGAAATGAATGAGTTTAAAAAGTATATGTCCCCCCTCAAAAAAAGTATATGTCCCAAATATTTTTACATAATATAAATTTATGCCAATCAACTAAATGATATATTCATCACCACTGTGCATCACCAAATTTTGCTGATAAGGTAAATTTTGTTTTCCTATTGTTCTCAATTCACTCAGTTCTAACATTTGTATGACTGCATTTTCTTGTTCTTTTTATTTCTATTATATGGATGAAAGCATGAAATATGACGCATAACACACAAACAAATATTATGTTTGTGCATATGCAATTTAATGTTTCAAAAGAGTTATTATTCAACAAAACATGTTAACAACCTTGAATTGTCATAAATCCTCATATTATTCATGAGTACATTGAGACATCACTCTATCTATGAACAATGGCAAAACTTCCATTACTTTAAGGAAAAGCCATTTTTCAATAATAATTCTATTATTCTGATGCCTTACTTGCCTAAATTCCCAGGTTAAAAGTTTTATAATACAGGGGCGCCTGGGTGGCTCAGTTGGTTAAGCGACTGCCTTCGGCTCAGGTCATGATCCTGGAGTCCCGGGATCGAGTCCCGCATCGGGCTCCCTGCTCGGCAGGGTGTCTGCTTCTCCCTCTGACCCTCCTCCCTCTCATGCTCTCTGTCTCTCATTCTCTCTGTCTCAAATAAATAAATAAAATCTTTAAAAAAAAAAAAGTTTTATAATACACATTCTTTTTTGATGGAAATCCTTTTCACTCTTTTTTTCTTTAGCAACTCCAACCTCCTGAAACTGTGACCACATAAGCTCCAATCTCCACCTAGACCAATTTCATCAAATATGAAAAACAAAGTCCCAAATTGTATCAGGCATACCTGAGGTAGAATTTCAAGGAGCTGGTGATTGTCTTAATGTCCCAATCACTATTATGAAAATCAACATCTCCTGGGCATTTAGGATCTATATGAGGAAAAAAAAAAGTTAATGTTCTAGAAGTTCTTACTTTTTACCTCTTTAAAAGAAAAATAAAGTGGGTAGCCTAGGTGGCACAGTTGGTTAAGCATCAGACTCTTGGTTTCTGCTTGGGTCACGATCTCAGGGTGGTGGGATAGAGAGCCAGGTTGGGCTCCGTGCTCAGTGCAGAGTCTGCTTGAGACTCTATCTCCCTGTCTCTCTCTCTGCCCCTTCCCCCACTTTCTCTCTCTCTAAAGTAAATAAAATCTTTAAAGAAGAAAAAGAAAAAGAAAATACATTACATTAAAAGATAGTCACTCTACCCAGTTTTCAAGAGATGAAAACTTTGTACAACAACCATGTCTTTGATGTCTTAAAAATTCCCTTGCATTCCATTCAGGCATGTAAGAAGCCTGGAAGTCATGTCTTCCATCCACACAAGAAAAAAAGTGTAACAAACTGAAAATCAACTCCTCTTAGATCCATCAGAGAATTGAGGTCATATAACAAACTACTGTCCTTAAAACTGAAGAGAGAGGCCTGCAGATCTGGAAAATCAAAACTTACTAGAACAGAAGCCCAGGAGCAGAAAACTCCTTGGGAACCAGTACAGCGTTAGGAAAACCTAACCTGGAATTGATTTGATAGAGGCTCAGTGTGGACAAGTTTGAGAGTTAAAAATTCTAAGGGGGCTTGGTCCTAGGGGGACCTGCACACTTTTGTGAATTTTACCTCCAGGAGCCCTATCAGGTTCTCACAGTGAAGATCTGAGAAAAATTCACTCATGTTTCTGTGCTTCTTTTTAATAAAAGAGAGGATAAGAACCATACGATCCTCTCAATAGATGCAGAAAAAGCATTTGACAAAATATAGTATCCTTTCTTGATAAAAACTCTGCAGTGTAGGGACAGAAGGATCATACCTCAATATCATAAAAACCATATAGTAAAAACCCACAGTGAATCATTCTCAATGGAGAAAAACTGAGAGCTTTTCCTCTAAAGTCAGGAACACAACAGGGATGTCCACTCTCACCACTGTTGTTCAACACAGTACTAGAAGTCCCAGCCTCAGCAATCAGACAACAAAAAGAAATAAAAGGCATCCATGGGTGCCTGGGTGGCTCAGTTGGTTGAGCGACTGCCTTCAGCTCAGGTCATGATCCTGGAGTCCGAGGATTGAGTCCCTCATCGGGCTTCCTGCTCAGTGGGGAGTCTGCTTCTCCCTCTGACCCTCGCCCCTCTCATGTGCTCTCTCTCTCTCATTCTCTCTCTCAAATAAATAAATAAAAATCTTTAAAAAAAAAAAGAAATAAAAGGCATCCAAATCAGCAAAGAAGAAGTCAAACTCTCACTCTTCACCAGAAATAGCCACGCTGGTGGTCCCAGCTATTTCAGACCTGGATCCTGTTATATACATAGGGAAGAGGGATGTGACCTTATAAAAGGGTAGAGACTACTTTAGCAGCTTAAAGTAAATCCATCTGTGGCCAACTGGTTCTCCCTGGATTCAAATTACATCAAGATTATTAATAACATTTATAACCCTGAAGCAATAGTTCTGTCAGCGAATCTACCCAAAGTATACATTAGAATAGACTCATCTACAAATATGTCATCACAGAAAAGGAAAAAAGTTAAATGCTAAACAATAAGGAAGTAATCTGATAAATATTGGTCCTTTTATTTATCATAATATTATAGCCATTGAAATATTTACAAAGTATTTTTAACCATATGTGAAATGCATATGTCAAGGTAATTTTGGCCATGTAAGTCTAAGTCTGTCTACACATCCTCCAGAAAACAACATGGAACCACCAGAAAAACAGGGCTACACAAAGCCATGCCCTCCACATAATAAAAACATAGAGAACACCCAAATTCCAAATCACTTGAAAGTAGGAATATAAACACTAAATCCCAGGGAGCTATCACTAATATTCCTTCTCCACAAACATTTGCAGGGAGCAAGCGAAATGCTGGGAAAAGTTCATTCATAAGAAAATAAGGGGTTTGGAGGGCTAAGATTAATCTAAAACCAGTACCAGAAAGACAAAGTCTAAACAAAGTATAAAAATACTGAAAAATAGGGTAAACCAGAGCACTTGTGGAAGAGTGTTCTAAGTGATCTTCAAAAAGAAGTCATGGAAGGTATTGCTCCTAGGAAAGGAAAGGGCAAAACATAATGGAAAGACATCAGCCAAAGGGAAGTGAAGCAAAAGAGGAAAATTTAGGAATGGGCAAATATCTACCAGGCAAAAGCAATCAATATCAGGCAAAGTAGATTTCAAGCCCAAAAGCACTAAATGAGACAAAGAACACTTTTAATGCTAAAAGCCTTACTCAAAATGAAAGCAAAACAGCTATGAGTATCTGCATATCAAATAACATGGCAACCAACTTCATAAAACAAAAATACAGAATATAAAAAGTTATCAATAGGGACTTCCAGGGGAGATGGAGGAGAAGGAGGACTCTAAACTCACCTCTCCCAAGGACACAACTAGATAACACTTACACAGTGCAAACAACCCAGAAAAGGACCCAATGACTGGTAGAATAACTAAATGTAGAGAAGAGGCCACATTGAAGAGGGTAGGAAGGGCAAGGATTCAGTGGGAACCTAAACCCTGTGGGTCTGAATGCTGGAAGGAGGGAGCTGCAGGCTCAGAGAGGAGCAAGAAATAGACTAGCACACTGGGGAGCCTACAAAGGGAAAAGAAATCCCCATAGAATTTGGCTTTGAAAATCAGAGGGGCAGAATTTTGCGAGTGCTTATGGCCAGCAGGACTTAAAGCCTAGAACTATAAAAATCAGCAGGCTTGGCTCTGAGAAGGCAATAGGAAGCTGAGCCCCTATCCTTAGAGATAGCACAGCAAACAGCTCATGGAGATACAGCTTGGAAGCAGCAGTTTGAAAGGCACCTGGGGCTTACAAGAGGGAGAATTAGTTACTAATCTCAGAGTTCACTTGAGGGACTTCTCCAGGAACGAAGGAGCTGGCAGGTGACATTTCCCTTCCCAGTCCAAATTCATAAATGCACAGCCACCTGTGGGAACTAGTGCAGCACCAGCACTCATTACCTAACTTGCTTACACCACAGCACATGTCCCCAGCCAGACCTCCCTCAGTCCCAGTGCTACGGATCCCCTCCCCCAGAAGACACATGCAAACCTTGCCAACCCTGGATCTGTCAACCTCTCAGAGAGGATGTACACAACTTGTTAAAACTGCATCTGCTGCCCACCATGCTGTATGGAGCAGCCAGCTCCAGTCTCTGTGGCAGATGTGCATCCCCAGTGGAGGAGGGCCAGTGTGAACAGTTTATGGCACTGCACCCCCATCAGTCCACTCAAGTTTTGTGCAGTGGCCTTGGCCAGTTTCAGCCTCCACAATGGCTGAGCATCCCCTGTGGTGGAAGACAAGTGCATCTAGTTAAAAGTGCACACTCTGACCACTACTTTCAAGAGCAATAGGTATAGCTGACTTTCCTAAAACACAGAAACAGACACAGAGAGGTAGGCAAAATGAAGAGACAGAAGAATATATCACAAATGAAAGAACAGGGCAAAACCACTGCAAGAGACCAAAGCAAAAAGGATCTAAGTAACATTCCTGATAGAGAATTTGAAATAATGATCATAAAGATACTCGCTCAACTTAAGAGTGGAGGACATCAGTGATATCCTTAATACAGACACCAAAAAAAAAAAAAACCAAAAAAACAATTAGAGATGAAGAGGACAATAAATGAAATTAGGAATACAATTGATGGAATAAATAGCAGGCAAGAAGATGCAGAAGAATGAATGAATGACCTAGAAGACAGAGTAATGGAAAGTAAATAAAGATGAACAAATGAGAGAAAAAAGAATTATGCAAACTGAAAATACACTTAGGGAAATCAGTCACTCTATCAAGCATAATAACATTCACATTATAGGCATCCTAGAAGGAGAAGACAGAGAAAAGGGGGCAGGATATTTATTTCAAAAAATAATACCTGAAAACATCCCTAATCTGGGGAAGGAAAAGGATATCCAAATTCAGGAGACATAAAGATCCACCAAGACACACAGTAATCAAAATGAAAAAAGTAGTGATAAAGAAAAAAAAAAATTAAATCAGCAAGAGAAAAGAAGTCAGTTATATAAAAAGGTAACTGCATAAGGCCATGAACAAATTTTTCAACAGAAACTTTACAAGCCAGAAGAGAGTGGCATGATATATTCAAAGTGTTAAAAGGGAAAAATCTATAGCCAAGAATACCCTATCCAGCAAGGCTATCATTCGAAGTAGAAGGAGAGGTAGAGTTTCTTAGACAAAAACTAAAGGAGTTTTTGACTACTGACCCAGCCCTACAAGAAATATTAAAAGGGACTCTTTGAGTGGAAAGGAAAGATGAAAAGTGAGAGTATTAAAGAAGGAAACACAAAAGCAGTAAAAATAAGTAATTCTGTAAAAAAAATAAGTAAAGGGAGTCACAAAATAAAAGGATGTAAAATATAACAACATATACCTAAAATGGGGGGGGGGAGAGTGATGAGTAAAGAAGGTTTGAAATGTAAGCAACCATCAACTAAATATAGACTGCTATAGGCAGAAGATGTTATATACAAACCTAATGGTAACCATGAATCAAAACCATTAGTAGATATGCAAAGAATAAAGAGAAAGAAATCCAAGTTTATCACTAAAGAAAACCAAGAAACCATGAAAGACATAGTAGCAATACTTCTATGAGACAAAATAGACTTTAAAACAAAATCTATAAAAAGAGACAATGAAGGAAACTATATAATAATAAAGGGGAAAATCCAACAGGAAGATATAACCATTGTAAGTATTTATGCACCCAACATAGGACCACCCACATACATAAAACAGTTAATGATAAACCTAAAGGAACTAATCAATAGTAATACAGTAATTGCAGGGGAATTTAAAACCCAATTACATCAATGGAGAGATCAGCCAAACTATTTGGCTTAAGGAAGGAAATAG